AGATTAAGAAGCACACAAAGTAAGGAGGATGTTTTCTGGCTGGATTTTAGAGATTTAACTGCAAAACTCAGCTTAATGCTACAGGAGATATTTAACTAAACCCTGAGCACAGCTGCAATGCTTCATCCCTAAAGACTTGAAGGAGCCAGAGTCTGAGTTAGCAGGTGAGAAGAGTCAGGCAGGTATCATCCAAGCTGTGAAGGTGCCTCGAGGCTGAATTTGGCTTTGAAGTGGAATGTGGAAAAGAAGGTGATGTCCTAAACACCTTCAGCTTTCACTGATGTCACTGGATCGGAGCTGAGTATAAAATAATGAAGAGCAACTTTCAGGAGCTGCTCAGCACCAACAGAATCAGGGCAAATTAGCAGCTGATGTAAGGCTGGTCTAAATCAAGGCCAAGTCATGCAGGATTGGTGCACCATTGGTTGGACAGTGAAGTGATGCATCATCTTAAACTCCCTTTGAACAACAGTTTGCAACAGCTCCTGTAATTTTGAAGGAGTGTTGCTTCCCAGGAGTGGGCTGTACCACTACAAGATTAAGTCATAGATGCCAGAGTTCTCCTTTCATACAAAAATGTCACCAATATGGCAAATGTCACCAAATAGAAATGTGTGTTCAAGTTTGAAGTGGTCTCAAAAATGCAGTGAAACAGTGAAAATTTTTATTTTCCACTTCTGACATTTTATTGAATCATTTTCTGTTTTTTGCACCTATTTTCAAGAAATCAGAAACATTCCATGGTCTGTTCCTGCTGTTGAATCTCACATACTGGATCATGGAATATTATTAATATTATTTATACACTGGTAATGCCTGTTTATACAGCATTTTCTGCATAATTGGAAATGTGTGCTGTAAGCTGAGTCAAAACCATTTTCCTGTGATAAAAAGGTCTCTTGCTGACTACTGCAGAAGTGAGGGGAAATTACAGTAACCTATTCCTTTCATGGTGAAAGGGAAGTCAGGTGGGGAAGAGATATCAGGAGTTCAGATTTTTCATTTCACTAATCCTGTACACTGCCTTTTTCTTCATCCTGACGTTGCTTGAGAAACCTGTTTCACATTGACAACCCGTGGTGTAGCTTTTCTGTGCAGCCTCCCCCAAAATTCTTGACTCCATTCAAATTTGCATTTTAATTTATCTTGCCTTTTAGCAATGTGGGTGATGCTTAGGCTTTGGGAGTAATGACTGCAAACCCACGGTGGGGCAGCCCGACTCTGAACCCTCTACTGTGTTCTTCAGAATCAAGACTTGCTGGTGCTACAGCTCCCACCTCTGGATGATCAGAGTGGTCCTCAGCAAGCAGCTGCATCTTCATTTCAGTGTCCTTGCAGAAGCTCCAGGCTGGTTTTTTTAAGTAACTGATTTTTATCCTCACCCCTGAGACAGCAAAATTCAATGTTGCCTGCAGTACTAAGAAGCCTTGAGCCACCTTTAACAGAAAGGTTTAGCTTTGACCTTGGCATGTGAGGAGGGGAGAAGGGCAGTAGACCCCCGTGTAGCCTTAGTGTTATGAAGATTAAGAGGCCACTATGGGGCTTTCAGGCAGGATGCAGGTGGGTGAAGCTGGACCACAGCCTGCTCTGGCCTCCTGGAGGTTGGCCACAGGGTGCTGGTGTGCACCAGGACGATGGGCAGGAATGCACAAGTCCAGCCCTTTCTCTGCTCTCCGTAAGTTTTGAGGATCTCACATTCGTCTTGCCATTATGGCTGCCTGAAGTGTGGACACAGCATCAGTCTTTTGTCACCTGGCCATTTTATGAGCGCTTAACCCACCCTCCAGCCCACCCTCTCAGCACTAATCCTATAAAAATTCAGGCTTTTTCACGTGATACCGTTTAGTGAGCTCAGTAAATGACCCTAAAAATGAACAGGAAGAAAACCCCAAGCTAGGTGAAGCAGCAACTAAACGTAACAGGGTTTTAAATGATGGGGGAGAAAATGTCATTAGGCACAGGTAATTTGGCTTTGTGAACCAAATGATGTTGGGAATCTTTAATGAGCAAGTGCTGAGACAATAAGAGCTAATGAACTGACTAACCTGCTGCTTTCAGTAGGATGACATTCAAGCAAATAAAAGTGAAAATCTGTAATGGGAGTGTCTTACATGTCTCTCACTGGCTGCCAGGCTATTTTTAACTTCAGACTACAATTATTAGCTTCAGGAACTCAGCATTATGCTGTAACAGGTGATATCTTAAAATGTTTTTACAAAGCCTTTTATTAAGGTTCAAAGTAATTGAAACCGAGTTCAAAGAGCTGTTACTTTTTCTGTAATTTAGGTGAGATTCAACTGTGTTAAAATAAAGAATCTGGATTTGAAGTGCAAGAATTACAGCTAATAGACTTCAGTCACCTCATGCAAGTTTTCCGGGAAGCACGTGTCTCTTGCCAGGTTCTGCACATCACTGCCTGCCAGTCTGTTGGCATGCAGGCTTATTTTACTTCTTTCTCCCCTTGCTTTTTCCTGCATAACTTTTCTAGTGTGGATACTACATGTGCTGACATCCTTTTGAAAGTCAACAGTTAACACATTTCTTACTTAGGGCTTGTGTTCACTACACAAGTTCTGTTTGAGTCAGTGCTCTCAGGATAGCTTCTCCTGGGTAGGTTTGAGGGAAAGATCACACTTCAGAGTAACTCCTGGCTTTCAGAACGTGTCTGCAGGGTCTCCTGCAGGCAAACCTGAGATAACTCTGCCGGTGTCCAGCTGCCTGGCAGTGGCAGCTGAATCATTCTGCCAGCAGCACAGCTGGCTTAAAAGTCTGCTGTCGCCCTCAGCTGTGCTGGTTTGACTGCTCAGTGATGGCTCTGGTTCTGTGATGTGCACTGGCTGATAGTGGAGCTCCCTCCTGGTACTCCTAAAATAGCCCCTGTGCCTGTGCTGTGGGCTCAGGGCTGACAGATCTCCCCATGGCCTATCAGTAGTTGAAGCATCAGCAACACTCCTGCTTTAGTACAGTTTTTTCCTGCTACTGAAAAGAGACTTTCTGAAACATCACTAATTTAAAGCTGGGGCCATTCGTGTGTAGAAAGAGATCACACTGGGAATAAAATGTGAGTTTAACTCAGAGTTTAACCATGCAGGAGGACGTGCCATTCAGCTAATAACCCTGAAACAAGCTTCCCACAACATAATGGCTTCGGAATCGCTCTGCACTCCTGAGTAGCCAGTTATGCAAAGCAACACAACTACTGTCTGCTGTGCAGAGAAGCCACCCAGCAGTGCTGCTCTTGGCTTTGCTCAGATGCAATACCTGAGATATTGCGTTATAGGAACCTGTCAGGTTCATCTGGGACAGCACACAGAGCTTTGAGAAAATGCTGTCAAACTTTGGATGCTAAGTAACCATTGGTGGTATTTACCTCTGATTAAAATTGGCTATGATGAATAGAAACATTTCACATGTCCTCAGTGTTCAACACTTGTCGACAGACTTTAATTCACGGTGATATGAACGATCTCTTAAGGATTGCTCTTTAGTCATGAATCAAAACCCCCATGCAAACTAGTTTTGTTGTGCTCTAGTGCCATAAGCAGGTTGTTGCTGAGGGAGGCTCTAAATGAATGTTTATATGGTAGAGAATAACAGCTACTATTGCAAATTAATTACTGCTTTGCCTGACATCTTCAGCAATGCCTTCAGCATGAAAATTCAATGCAGTTTAATAATGGATTTCTGAAACTAAATTGTTAGACCTGTTTCCCTAGGATGCCATTTAAATGAGATGTTCACTTGAGGTTCGTGGAGGTGATGAAGCAGAAAATATAGAGGAAAGGTGCTAAACCACTAGCTATGGTCTGTACTTATTTATATTTTTTATTTTACTTTTCATTTTAAAGCAAGATAAGAGTGTGCATTTGAGGGCAGATTTTATTCATGCACATTACTGATCTTTATCTAAAATATTTCTATTTGTTTGTATATTGTATATTTAGTTGTGATTATACACAACCTAGCAACCCTGCCATATATTTAGTGATGCTGCTTCTCAAAAGGCTTCCTTTTCTTTAAAAATGCCATTATCCCTTGCAGAGTACTTGATTTTACATGCTGTGTAACTTTCTACTATTGTGCTGATCTAAAATGGCTTCAATTAAAGGCCTCTCAGGATCTCTCTTCAGTTATAAATTCACAAAAGCAACAGCAAAAGAGTAAAAAATATTGACTGTTAGTAAATTGTATTAACAAAAAAAGAGCTGTTTTTATGGTACAAAATGCAATTAAATATTTTTTAGCCATCTTTGGGCATTTAGGAACAACATTTAAGCTCAAGAGTGACAGATTTAAGTTGAGAGGTCTAGACATACGAACAGCTCTGGCAGCTGCTGCTGCACATGTGACTGAACTTCCTAAGACACTTAGAGTGTAAATGGAGCTGTGACTGGTGTTACAGGGACTGGGTGTTCAGACTGGAGAATGTGTAATACTGACTGTATATGGGATATTCCATCAGCTTCACACAACCCAGGTGGATACTGAGATGGTGCCTCCACAGGAAAAGGTCGCCAATGTTTTCCTGTGTCTGAGAAGTGAATAATTAAACTCTTTAATTACCTTCAGCATTAATTGTGTCACCTGAGCTTACATCAAATAGTCACAAGAGGCAAGGGGAAAGGCCTTCAAACTGGAACTGTTCCAGGCAGAAGAATAATATTCTGCCCTGACAAGAGTTCTCTGGTAAAGCTGATACAACACTTTTTGTACAGTTCCACTGGGATCAGTGGTGCTACTGGCCTGCTAAGAACCTGCTCAGTGTGGCCCCAACACATTAAAACATCATTGGCTGTGAAATAACATTAAAACATCATTGGCTGTGAAAACTTCTGTTGCATTAAGTGAGAGGCAGTGATTCTCTTTGCTTTGAAAGGTACCTTAGCACAACTGGCTATTTTATAATAGTCAAATATATTTACTGGTATTGTTTTATCTGTATGGTACTAAGATGTGATGGGTTTTATTTTTCTTCTTCCTCTCCTTCTTCTTCCACCCAGGATGAAAAGAATCAAGTATTAACAACAAATATCTGGCTACAAATGGTAAGTTTTGAAACAAGTTTTTCCCCCTTTGATATTTGAGTTTAATCTGGTAAGAGGTTTGAATTTTAGAAAACTCTCAGGCTTTTGTTCTATATCTTGCTGCACAGTGGACAAAGCTAAACTGAATGGCAAACTATAAGGCTGAGCTTTAGGTCTAGATGTTTCTGAGAACTTTAAAGAATTTGAGTCACTACATCTAAATAAGTTATGAACTCATTTTGGTTGATTCAGTCACACTAAAGTCTTCCTTGTCATAGGGTAAGGGTGACCTGAGAGTCCCAGGCTGAGCAACTGCAGGTGCAAGTGCCTTTCACTCACTTCAACAAAGCCATTATGTTGTGGTAAATCACCTGATGGTGACAGAGAACATGCAAGAACTGCATTTCATCTGCAGTAGCTGTTCTGACCAGCACTCTGAAAATTGGCAGCTGACTCTTCTGATATGGGGAAAAATGGTTCCAAAGAGGTTCATTATCCCTGAGAGCTGCTGCCACTGTCCTGATGAGTGTCCCTGCCATCCCACTTGCTCTGTTGACTGTCTCCTTGAGAAACTGCCAGAGGAACTGGAACACCAGTTTCTTAATGTCCAGCTGGGAATAGTATAATTTTTCCTGGTTTCCCAACTTGTTTTGCCCACATAGGGTGGTCATTTTTTGAACAGTAGCTTTATTTTACCTTTTTGTTGCAATTCTTAGTTGCCATAAATTGTCACAGAATTTTATATGCTCTCTAACTACTTACCCCTATCTGTTGCTACCACTGGATGCCCCAGCTGAGAACTTTGTCCACATTAACTCATGGCATTGCTGGACAGGAGTTAATTTTCACTCACTTGTTAATAAATGGAACAAATAATAGGTTGTTCAAGAATTTTGTGAGGGCATTTTGAAATTCTTTTCTCTGAAAGGTTAAATTATCCCTTAGACTTAACAAGATGCTTCTTAACTTTCTGACTCCATTTCTGCCATGACTTTGTGCTCTACAGACACAGGGTGATACAGGGAGCTTTCTCCATCTGTGGCAGCCAGGATGAGAATTTGCCATTAGTTAAATCCCTGACACTGTTTGGGTGAAGCAAAGGTTTACAGAAGGTTTTTATTACTCCAGGCAATCTCTCTGCTTCTGCAAAAACTTTACACCTTTCAGTTTCTTTAACCAGCTCAATCAGTTTAAGTGTATTATTTTTTCTTTTATTGTAACATTTTATATAGGGCACCTGTCTTGCACTGTGCTAGGCCTTAGGAAACAAATGAGTGATATATATGTGTATCACTGGTGACCCTATAAAGGGTAGCATGGCTATTCCATTTATTCACAAAGAAAATCTGACATGGAAGAAGCATTCAACTCGTGTTTTTTTACAGGCCTGTTGTACAGTAAGATTAAAACTGTCAAATATAATATGTTTTTAGCTTTGAGCTACAATGACTATAGTTGCTATGATTTCTTACCAGGAAAACAGACAACAATTCATACTCAAAAAGCTATCATTTCTTTTCCTTCTCTTTTATCCCATAGCATCCTTATCCTTTCTGAGATTGGTTTTTTCCCCCCCAAGGAAATTCTTGATTATTTTATACATTCTCCATTTCTTTTGATTTATTCACCTTAGCACATACTGGATATGGAACGTGTTAAGACTGCAATGAGCAGACCATCTGGTTACTGCAAAAAATGTAGCCACTGTTCTTGGCCTATGCACACATAAAAAAAAAGTGTTTGCTTGTGAACTGTCTATTAATGGGGTACTAGACAGATTCAAAGCATGCTTAAGGTAAATGTATGTCATTTTACTGTTCTCTGAAATAAATAAAAATGTAAAAGTGCGCTTAAAATTTATGAAAAAAAAATGAGAAGTAGTAACTGTGTGAATTAGAAAAGCAATTCAACCCCAAACTGGCACCTGAGACAGCATGAACAGTAAAACACAAGCACCCCAGATCTTGTATAGGCTGTTTTGTGCCCTGCAGTGGGAATTGAAAATGAGGTTTTTATGTGTTCCATTGAGCTGCTCATGGCCTAATTCACCCTTCGAAAACATTTCACTGCCTGAAGCTAAACAGAACCAAGAGAACACCTATTGTTTTAGTCTATCCAGTCCCTAGAGAACTACAGTGAACCAGTGGGTGAGATGACTTAACCCACTTTTTGTGTGTCTGGCTTAGTACTGGACAGATCATTATCTACAGTGGAACGTGTCTGAGTACCCGGGAGTGAAGAACGTCCGTTTCCCAGATGGACTGATTTGGAAGCCTGATATTCTTCTCTATAACAGGTAGACACACTTTTTTTTCCATTTTTTTACATGGGGAAGGAGAGAAGATCATACAGAATCATAGCATCACAAAATAGCCCAGGTTGGAAGGGACCCTGAAAGTTCAGCTGCTCCAACCTTTCATGGAAAAGGGAGTCTAGGTGAGGTTATGTAGCACCCTGTCCAGTCACAGACATAAGGCAAGGTAAATGACATAATCATCCCAGCAAAATGTGTAAGTTTTTACATACTTTTCCAAAACTTGCCAGGTTTTTGGAATACTGGAAAATTACCAGTCTCCTGTTTACATAACAGAAGGTCATATCTGCAAATACTTCATAAATAACAATATCATCCCCACCACCAACTATAGTTGGTTGGCTTTTGTGAGATGATAAGAAAAGCAGATTTTCTGGCTGTGTTTAATAGTACAAGTAGTGATAATTTTTCTGAAACTGTTTGGTCTAAAAGTTTACTGGTGAATTCAAATCTGACATTTGCATGCTTGTCTAGTTTTAGTTTGGGTTTCACTATAGACAGGACAGGTAAAGCCAATAAGGATCTTTGCATTTTTCCATGTCCAGTTGGGATGTCACTCTTTCTTTCTGCTATAAAAATAGCTGTGAGATTTGCTGCTGTCCTCTTCAAACTGTTCTGAGTTGGGCCTATTTCAGGGACACACAGATTGCCATCAATCCACTGCAGAACCTTTGGCTGACATTGAGAGATTCTTTGGCTGCACCATTACATGGCAGTTCCCATTGTGGAATTTATTTAGTTTAACGAGATAAAGCACTGAGAGCTGCCTGCTTGTCAATAATGTGCCTTTTCTGCCGTTGTTGGGGCTCGTGTGTTGTTCCCCAGGAACTGGGAAGAACTTCCATCTGCTCTGTACATGTTGCACTGGCTCTGCTGTGGCAGCCAGGGCATGTTGGGGGGTTTTTGCCTATGCAGGTGACATGAACCTTTTGTCTTCCTGATGGCTTTTTTTCCTCTGTCTCTCTGCCATGTGTCCACTAAGAACACCCCGTGCTGTGGGTTATCAACGTGACTCCCCCTTCCCACCTCAGGAGCTGCTTTTTGTTGCAACAAGACTTAGAGAACAGCTGCACCCAGTGTATCAGCTGCAGTTGTGCTCTCTTTTGGTGACCACCTTTGTGAGCAATGTCACTGTCACAGGTGTTGTTGAGTTGTAAGAGTGGGATAACAGCTCCCAGTGGCAGCATTTGTCATTCCCTTGGGGCCTGCATTCCTGCTGTGCTCTTGGCAGTGCTTCTCCTGGAGGTACAACTGACACTAAAGGATTTGGGGTGATCTCCAGTAGAGTTCACCATCCTTAGGGGAACTGCCTGGCTGATTTACTCCTTGGTTCTGGTTTAAGCATGGCAATGAGTGCTTCAGTTGTCCATAAACCAGCCTAAAAAAACCTTTCAAAAGTTCTGTGCACAAAATGGAGCAGCCTGATACCCAGGACAGGTGGTTTTTAGCAACATTAATCTTGTTTAACGTATCTTTCAATGCAAATTTGTTTTCTTGAGCAGTTTTTCCTAGCTAACTTGATTCTATCAATGGCAGTGTTCCTGGGAGAATCTGACAAATCACACCTTCATTTCCATTCTCCTGCTGAATAACACACTGTGTATGCCATAAAATTGGTACTCTGCAACAGCAGTTTAGAGGTTCCCAAAAGACTGAGTATGACAGTATTCTTCCTCACATAAATCACAGACCTGAGGGAGACATTCAATGTGTCTAAGAATTTAGGCTACAATATTTAAGTAAGTATATCCAAAATGAAAGGGTAGTATTTTAGAAATTAGTAATATTGATACATACATACTACCTGTAGCTGAAGTGCTTTATACAATGAGAAGGGTGACAATAACCTGAAAAACTGAAACCACAATTTTTCTGTTAATATAGGTTTTCAAATCCTTGGATTGTTAACTATGGCACAGTCATGAATTAATTATTCTACAGTGTTTCTGTTTCAAACTCATATTTAATCCAAAACTCTTATTCAGAGTTTAGTCAGAGAGCAAAGCTATTTAAAACAAATTCTTATTCCTGTATGAAATTGCATTGGGAATATTACAATGCTCTCGTATAGTGACATGCCATTTTGAGATAGATGCTTTCAATTGCTATATGCTTCACTAGGGACATGCATCTGCAGTTACAAAGAAATTAATGAACTATAAATTCACTTTCCATCTTAATGAATGCTTGTTTCACTATGTCTTGAATCCTTACACATCTTGCTGCAGCCCAGGACAGAGAAATTGTGGCAGCTGTATTAAATTTTACCACCAGTCTATTGTGAAGAGAGCAGGGCCAGTTAATCTGTAATATTTTTGAGGGAAGAAAACCTTGGCCTGTGTACAAATTCCAGGATTGACTGTGCTAATGTCATGTATAGCTTTCTCCCGCTTTTTACTAGGCTTATTAAAAGTGCTCATTTCTGGTAGAATTATTTTCCAAACGGCCACATAGTGTTTGGTACTTCATGGAATAACAAGAATTGTGGTAGTTACGTGTCATTTTAAGTTTCATTTTTCCAGTTTTATAAACCTGAGATTCTCCAGATAGGTCCCAGTGGGATTCTATCTGCTAGGTACAGCTTTGCCATCTCACTGTGCTGCAATCAATATCTGCTTTCAAGTCATTATACCCTGAAGAAGAAGTGTAGCAGAAATAGTTTTCTGTCATCACATTTCAGTCCAAAGTCTCATCAAGCACAGGCTCAGTCACTTGGTGCATTCCCAGTTGAAGCAGTGCACTTCATAAAACAATCAGAAACATGACTTAGAAAAACACATATCCCCCTTTTTCAGAAAAAAGAATTTCATCTTTGAATCTGAGTACCACTGGATATTCTTTTAGGAATGTGTCTTATGAAAGGCAAAGTCATGTGGCAATGAAAATTGAGTTGCTTCATCACTTGTGTTCTTTCAAAAATGATATTTTTGCCAGTTACCAGAAACAGCAGCAAGGTCTTAGAAGCAACTCCCTGGTGCTTAACTGCCCTCTGCTCCAGAGGAACAGAAGGGAATCTAGTCTAGGAGTCATTACCTTCCGCTTTACAAGAAATTTGTATGGCATGGAGGTTTTTACATCCCGAATTTGGCTGTTTGAGTTCCATCATGTAGCCCTTATTAATTTCAAATCAAAGCAATTACTTGTCTAATATAGAACCTTGCTGGAGGACTTACAGTCTGGTTTCCTGAGGAAATGAGTCTTCAGCACATGTGTGGGTGCACACCTGTGCCAGTGGATGTGTTTGTGTATGATCTTGGTACCCCCTTCCCCAGTATCCCCTGACTCCATTTCTACCAGATTTGGCAGTGCCAGGAGTAGAGATCTTTGCAGTACCAGTTTCTTACAAATATCACGAAAGCAAGCAGCCAAAATGTGGAGGGAAAACAATTAGAGTTCCAACAGGAAGAGAAACTGCAACACAAAGCCAGAGAATGCAGCCGTGAGCTGTGGAGCTGCAGGAGTGGCTCACGCTGGTTCAGCTGCCTCAGAGCTGAACTGCCTTTGCCCCTCGAAGTGCTAGAATCCAGTCAGGATACAGTCACAATATTTACGCTTTTCTGCTTGCCTTTAAAGTTCAAATTAAACAGTTGCAAATATTTTCAGCACTTGTGAGCCTTCTGCTCACCACAGGAAAAAGTGCAACTCCGTATAGGCAATTATGGATTTAGCTTTTTCTTGTCTGCATATTTCACAGACCAGTCCAGATATTTTTTTAAATCTAATTTCTTCAAATACATGAGAGGAAAATAAAATGCAAATTAAAAATCTCTAAAATAACAATTGCTTTATTTTAGCTCCTGAGATATAAAATTTGCATCAGACTAGATTAAATATTAAAGTCCTCTTTTTAAAAAAGAATATTTTAATAAGGGTCTTCCCTTGCTGGGAAAACACCCCACCTTTTAAGATACTTTATTTTCTGCTAGAATGACGAATATTTCTCTTTATCCCCATCTTAGATTTTTGCTGTATTTTTCTGATAATGTCTTAAAAGGTGATTAGAAAATTATGAGGTACTGAACCACTAATAGGCAAAGAGACATCAGAAACTTCTCACGTTCCAATCGACCTGGAGAGACCAGGATTTTAGATCAAGGAAAGCCCAGACTGCTGCAGGAAGCAGGCCCTGAGCGTTGTGTGCCCTCCTGTGCCCTGCCCAGCACAGCTGGCACTGCATTTGCTTTGTGTGCCAACCCACCCCCCGAGGTGGCTCTTTGGAACCTACAAACAGCACAACAAAGTACAGGAGCCTGGCTGTCTCATTTTGCTTGTTCTCTGCTCAGATAAAGGCCTGAGAAAGGAGCCTTTGTCTATAATGAGGGCCAGCAGCCATGAGAGGTGGATTCAACACAGCAGTTCCTGAAACAATTCCGAGATGCCCTTCACTGCCAGTGCCATTCCTGACACCATTCCCTGCTGGTCCCTTCCCAACACATTGTGTGCAGTTTAACCCAGGCACCTATTCCAGTCACTCTGACAATCTCTTGAATACCCAGGCCCTGAGCTTTAAGGAATGTACAGATCAGAATCTCCAATCCCTTACTGCAAAAACCCCCAGTAGTAAATGGGAACTGTGAAATAAGGCACAATACTATAATGGGTAAATGTCTATTGCAATGCTAAGTAATCTAAATATCTCTACCAAAGGTTTCTGGGGTTTAGTCAGCAAACTTACTTTCTTTTCCTAAGAAAGAGTCATTATTTCATCATCTAAATATTTGAAAATAGGTTGTTTCCCGTACAGAAATTCTTAAAATGTTAATGCCTAGTAAATTCCCGGGACATTGTGCCAGATGTAGTTGAGATATTCCTTGGCAGTAGCTGCCAGTTAATAATTTGGAGCATTCTCCATGTAACATTATGGTTCTTTTCTAGAGACTTGTAAGACCAGCACAGCAGGGTGGTCCTGGCCAGCACCACTGCACTGACACTTCTAATAGGACCTCTTTTTCCTTTTTTTCTGAACCCAGTTTGTGGGTTCTGAGGTGGATAACGAAGGCTGGAGCTGCATTAAAGCATCTCGTGTATGACAGGTAGTAATGATGTTCAGCCATGCAAAAAGGTAGGAAGACCCAGACCCTGGAGGATCCATCTCCCCAGTATTCATCAGCTGCTGGTAACACAGACAGCAGGAGAACAGAGTTACCTGTACAGATGCTTGAGAGGTTTTTAGAAAGAGCTTACTTTCCAAATGGAAAGCAATAGAGCCAAGGCACTGTAGTGAGTCTGCTGGGACAGGTGAGCAGCAGGAATGGGGCGGCTCCACCTTCACTTACGGCTGATAATCAGCAACAAACCCAACAGTATCAGACCAGCTACACTGAGGCCACAGAAAACGGGTGACAGGAGAGAAGCTGTCAAGCTTTTGGGGTGAAATAATCCTTTTATGAAGAACAGATTCATCTCAGATACTCTTCAGCCAGTCACAGAGCATATAACCCCTTTTGTTTCTTCCCTATTCTAGTGCTGATGAAAGGTTTGATGCGACTTTTCACACCAACGTTTTAGTCAATTCTTCAGGACATTGCCAATACCTGCCCCCAGGTAGGCCGTTTGCATGCCACAAATGTTGGTAACTCAGACCATTTATGCATGGTGTGGTTTCAAATTTGACATCAGTTCTCTGATATTTTATTTATCTGGGTGGCATCGTCTGATAGATTTAAGTCTAGGTGCATTATGAGTTACATCGTTACATCTTTGCAGGAAAAGCACCACAAAGATACATGTTTTATTACAATTATGTAAATAATTTTGTCATAATGCACAATTTCAGAAGTTTGGAATATTAAAAAAAGATAAAAAATAAAATTCCTTACTATAAAAAGGTAGTTTTTATTAAAGCTGTGGTAATGCCTCTTAATAAAAATATATTTAATTAATGTAGTGTTTCTTTTACTAATATGTTGATTTTACAGTAAGATATTTAGTAATATCTTGGATGTATTTCTATTTAAAATGATTCACTGGATGCTTCATCAACACAATTTTTAGTCTGAGAGGAAAGTAGCCATTTATTTGATATATGACTGACTTTGGATATATATCAGTGGAGTACTGCTTCTGTTCCCCAACTCAATTAGCATAATTATTAGAATTAACTCTTCTCAGAATCTGAATTTTGGAAACTACAGCAGTAGAGCCAAGTGCTTTCCAGACAAATTAGTTTTTCCACCTAAGATCCCAAGGGGATTTCAGGGGTTTACCTGTTATTCTTTTGATTTAAGATATTCCATTTGGTGGAGGCTTTTCAACTCAATTCTGAAAGCTGCTGAAGGACAGGGCCTGACTCAACAAGTGAAAAATAAGAAGCTAGCTTTCCTGAATACATCAAGATCATAGAAATCTAATAGTACAGCAAATAATATTTCAGGATTTCTTGCTTTAGCCAGTAAAAGAAATAGAAACAGATTACATATTCTGCTTCATTTCTTTCTGAAATACAGGATCTAGAAATCCGAGCTCTTCTATAAATATTCTCCCACTACGTGCCAAAATGGAAAAAGTGATTAAGAAATAGTTTGTAACATCAATACATTAATGGTACAGTTCTTCCCCTTTTCCATGACTGACTTTTGCTCATTACATGTCAAGACAAACTGAGGTTAAATACGCTTTACAAGTGAAAAAGAGAAGGCGTGATACAGAACAAGTTCTGGTTAAAAAATACATGTGAAATTCTGTGGAAGAAGCATTTAAATTCAGTGTTCTTGTTTCAAATCCCATCCAGGCATATTTAAAAGCTCCTGCTACATAGATGTGCGCTGGTTTCCATTTGACGTTCAGAAATGTAACCTGAAGTTTGGATCCTGGACTTATGGAGGCTGGTCCTTGGACTTACAGATGCAAGAAGCAGATATATCTGGCTACATTTCAAATGGGGAGTGGGATTTAGTAGGTAAGCTCTTGATTTCTTATTTACACTGTCAACTTGCAGCCTTGTCCCCACTGCTGAAATGGATGGAATAACAATCGTGAAATGAAGATAGAAACTAAATTAATAAATGCCCTGGCTGGTGGCATTTGAAACTGTGACAACGGCTGTGAGATGCAAATCAACATGAAAAAATAGTTGGCAAATTTGCTGCTTGAGTTCTGTAAGTATCTTTTATCTGATTTTCCTTCATGGTCTGAGAAAAAATTACTTAATTGGGAATTAAGCTTAAAGAAGTAGTTTTATCTGTGGTAGAACTTAGAAAGCTACATTTATCCTTTTAGAAAATAATTGCTACATCATATACAGTTTACTCACATTAATTTTGGGGTTTTTTCCTCTTTCCTCCTACACAGGAGTTCCTGGGAAGAGGACTGAGAGCTTTTATGAGTGTTGTAAAGAACCCTACCCAGATGTAACATTCACAGTAACCATGAGACGTAGGACTCTCTATTATGGACTCAATCTCCTTATTCCCTGTGTACTGATATCAGCACTTGCTTTGTTAGTTTTCCTGCTTCCAGCAGACTCAGGAGAAAAGATCTCACTAGGTAAGTTATTAATAGGATATTATAAATATGACTAAACCAAAAGAAGTTGTCCTTTTAAAAATTCCTGTCAACAGTCTTAGTAAGCAGGAGGAGTAGCCTGTGGGTCCTGTTCTGGCTCATGAGCTATTTTTACTGTTTGATGGTGAAACATCAAACAGAACCAACAGAAGCACAAACAATTCCTGGCTACCTTCCTTAAGAAGCAGGGGCTTATTTTTTTTGCTTAACAAAAATCTCAGATTCATTAAGTAAAGCTTAAGTTTACAAATATGCATTTGAACACTTTAACATGGAATTCTTCTCAATATTTCCTTTTAATACTGAGTTGTAGTAAAAGCCTACAGTGCCTTCTCAGAAAGATTGATTCTAACTGCTCCTATTTTACTTTTTACAGCAAATTTTAACTGAAGTATTAGTTTGTGAAACAAATCTGATTTTGAGTGTTTGATCTTTAAGATGGAGGTTAAATATGTAAAGAAACCTTTAGTCCCATACAAAAATTCAGATGCACTGGCTTCTACTAAGTAGACAAAGCTGTTTAAAGGTAGAAACAAAACTGACATTTCTCCAGAATGAGTAGTGGCCTCCCTCATCAAGTGGTAGCCTCCCTCATCAAGCAATAGCCTTCCTAATCAAGTAGTCCCTCCCAATATTTTAAGGTGAATTCTTTGTTCCTAAATCTTTCCCAGCTGGCAATGACTCCTGATTGTGTAAGACTAGTCCTGAGAAAACAGTTAAGCCTTGTTCTAGAAAGATGGGAACTCATCACTGAGCAACAGAAGTCAAACTCTAAAAATCAACAGTCGAGAGTGCTTGGGCACAGCTCCCTGCAGAACCCAACAGCTGATGTCAGACAATATCAAAGTCTATCCAAGACAGCAAATCTGCTTTTCAGGAAATTTATGCATGACACCACCTGTAGCTTCCATGACAATTAATCAACTGTCACATGCTCAAACACTCAAAATCACACCATGTTTCTAAAGCAAACATGGTACAAGAATTGCTTTGATTTACCCCAGCTAATTAGCAAATGGTCAGAAAAGTTGAACAGTTACAAGGATCTAAAAATATCTATGTCTGTGCAAGCTTTGGTGCTACTTTGGCAGCACTGCTCCCTTGAGCTGGAGGTGGTAGAAGAAGGACAGGAGCACCACTAACGTGCTGGTGCAGGGGCACAGTGGGATAGATCTCGCCAAGAGCACTCCTTCAGATTCATTTTGTTTCTCTCTGTGTTGTAGTTACGAGCTACTGATCTAATTTCGTACCTCGTGTTTATCTTTCAGGTATCACAGTTTTATTGTCTCTCACTGTGTTCATGCTGCTTGTGGCTGAAATTATGCCAGCAACCTCTGACTCCGTGCCCTTAATCGGTGAGCTTGGATTCCCTCGGGGTTGTTGGTCAGACAGGGCGCAGTGACGGGCCCGAAGGGCAGCAGGGAGGCAAATCCCCACCTGTGCAGTGCCCACTGCAGCTGGGTTAGAAAAATACTGCCAGTTGAGGAGAGGCTCTGGTGGTGCTCTCTGCTCTGAATGAAGCGGAGAACCTATGTGTATTTGGGAAAAGCACAAGGGAGTCAATTTTCCATGGAAGATTTGTTGCAATTTTGACAGAATTCACCAGATTATGCTCTGTATTCCTAACTCCAATTAGAGCTAAACATAATGGAATCTTCCCCTTGTAATTGTTCAAACAAAAAAAGAAACTTTTCAAAAGAAGTACTAGCCAGTCTCCATAATACAGGTGAAAGAAAATTAGAAGACAATTTTTTTCAAGGTTGTTTAGAAGAGGCAGGTGCTCAGTTCCACAAAAACAATTGCTAAACTTTGGCTCTAAATAATGACTGATCTTTCTGCTGTTGAGAAGTCTTTCAAAAGTACCTAAGGTAGCATGTGTATCACTACACTGGGAAAAGAGCTAAACACTATGTATGCATGTACAGAAACAGGCCTTACAAAAGCTGTATCAGCCAAAGTATGTTGTTGTAATTATCTGTTTATTTTGCAGCTCAGTATTTTGCCAGCACTATGATTATTGTTGGTCTTTCTGTGGTTGTCACTGTTATTGTTCTACAATACCACCACCATGATCCAGATGGCGGAAAAATGCCTAAATGGGTAAGGTTTGGTTTTCCTTCACTGTCCATTTCACAAATGTCCAGGTCAGGGATGTGACAGATAGCTGAGGGCCTCTGATCGCTTCTTACTGTTAAAAACATATAAATCCTTTCTAAACATTTTGTTTGGAAAAGTAGTTTCACCAGAAGTGAAATGTTTTGTGTGGTTGGTTTCTTAGAGAATGTGTGTGCAAGAGAGAGAATGAATATACCTCCACTTGCTTCTGATATCCCTCAAAACAGCTATAAGCAACTCAGGATTTTGCTAAAGCTATGTATATAAATGAAGGGGATTTTCAAATAAGCTCCAGACAAATAAATGAAGTGAAGTGAAACAGATAAAAGAGTAAGGTGCTGCTGGAGATGATCAATGCATGAACTACACTACCCTCAAGGTGCAACTGCTACATATTTAGGTGCTGTCTATACAGAAACATCCATATCCTAAAAAGCATTTGTTAAAGATGGCTGTTAAAGGGGAAGTGAAACTTGCTCTGAAAATCCTGATCTCTGAATCTCAGTTCAAGAACATCTATAAAGTGCAAAGAAGAATTAAAGCATATTTATAAGCACATAAGACTTTCTTTAGAAAGTACTTTTATGAGGGGTTGTTTTTAAAGAGAACATTATGCTCATATTGGTTTACTACACACTGCTGAGAATCATCAGCCAATTGTCCCCTCTTCTGACTTCCCCCAGCTCACAGCAGCATCAGGCATTTCTGAAGATGGAGAGACCTTTCTCCTTTTTTTCCCTCTAAAACAATGAGTTGTTATTATCCTTACTAGCCAGAAAGAATGTGCACACAGCAGTGCCCTGAGGATAAGAGATAATGAGATATCCCCTGGCCTATTTTGGAGTAGTGACTTTAAAATAAATTTCAATGAAGAGAATAAAAGATGTATCTCTTTAGACTCATGTTTGATGACCGAAAGGGAAGAAATATTTAGAACTGAGCCAAATGTCCTCAGAAAACAGAGTACTTGAGGTTGAACAGTGAGCTGTCGTGTTGAGAAGCTGAAGACCAACAAACATGAGTTGGATATGGTGGATTTTGGATCAGGCCCACAGTTGACGAATATTATCCTTCTTGGTGAACCTTGACAGTGTAAAGAGAGTAACAAGGAAAGATCTATCTCTGGTTAGGATGCTTGTCTGGATATAAAATCTACTCTGAGTGGCAATCCACAGTCAGAATAAATGGACCAAATATAATTATAGTGTAAAATTTGCATATTATACAAGACAATAATATTTCATTAGTGCTCTGGAAAAGAAATGCTGGAATGAGCCCTTAAAATCTGATTGAAATAAATTATAGAAGCTTTCATCAGAACTGGAACAGTCTCTGGCTTGCCTGCACTTTTGGTAAGGCTGGATTAAGGCAATGTGGAAAACAATAGAATAATACGCACTGATTAAGTCTGAAAGGTATTTTTTAAATCAAAGTAATTTTTCTGTCTTTTCTCCATATTATATTGAGATCTGTTTTCTAAAATCTGCAATCAACTGTCATGAACGCAACGTGAAAACAGAGCCAAACCATTGTGAAGCTTGGTGGTCCAGTCCAGTATACAATCTGTTTTAGCAGCCCCTTCCAAACAGTAATGGCCTGGGAATTTAATATTAGAGCACAAACACAAGTAAAAGAATTGTAAACTTACTGACTACAATTCAAAGTAGTGCTATTAAGAGTATTACAAAGTAACCCTTCTTCAGTAAGTGTTTTGTTTCGTTGAACCCATGGTTTCTAGTAAAGGTGGAAAAGATTGCTGTACCACTGTTCAAATGCCAGGAAAAATTAACAGTATTTGGAGACTATGGAGACTCCCATCAGAGGAGGGGAAGTCCTAGTGCTCCTAGTCAGTCTGAGGCAATCAACAGCACTGCAAGCTGGCAATCAAGCAACCTCAGTGATTGGCAAATTAACCAGCAGGAAAACTGTCCCCATTTTCTAGAACTCCTGTTCAGAATAAGCAGAGACCACAGACCAGACAGTCCCCCAGGCTGCACCAACACCAGCAGCACCCAAAAACAGTGGCTGTGTGAAGAGATGTTTATTCTCAACCTTTTCTTTCAGACAAGGATCATCCTTCTGAACTGGTGTGCTTGGTTTCTGAGGATGAAAAGACCAGGGGAGGAGAAAGTGCGTCCTGCCTGCCAACACAAACAGCGCCGCTGCAGCCTGTCCAGCGTGGAGATGAACACTGTGAGCGGGCAGCAGTCCAGCAATGGCAACATGCTCTACATTGGCTTCAGGGGGCTGGAGGGGGTTCACTGCACACCCACCACCGATTCAGGGGTAATCTGTGGGAGGATGACCTGCTCACCAACAGATGAAGAAAACCTGCTGCACAGTGGCCACCCCTCTGAAGGCGACCCAGATCTGGCTAAGATTTTGGAAGAGGTGAGGTACATTGCAAACCGGTTCAGAGACCAGGATGAAGAGGAAGCCATTTGCAACGAGTGGAAGTTTGCAGCCTCTGTAGTGGATCGGCTCTGCTTGATGGCCTTTTCAGTCTTCACCATCATTTGTACAATTGGTATTTTAATGTCAGCACCAAACTTTGTAGAGGCCGTGTCTAAAGATTTTGCTTAACTCCCAACTAGAACCTGCTTCTCTGAATGGTATGTAGCAAATAAGAACGTGGGGTTTTTGATTGCTTGTTTCTAATGAGTGTACTGCTTCTCATTGTCTGCTTTCTTTTGCCCCCCTCTCTGGTCCTGAGTTCCTTTTGGAAGAGTGGCACCATTTCGGAAGGGAAGCTAAGGATTTCTCTCTGGGCTGCCTGGGCACAGCTCCTTTGAGCGCTCTTTTGTGGAAAATGCAGTGGCTGCAAGTCCCTTCAGAATGACAGAGTGTTGCACCACAGTCTCTCACACACGTTTGAACTGGCCATTACAAAATCAGAGGTAGACAATGCCAGAAATGTCACTTCTTCCAGATTTTGTTACAAAGGATAATGTGGTCCATCTTAACTATTAGAATGAGTGATTGTAAACACTGATGTTTAGGAGGGGATAAAATCCACATGGATGCTCAAACAGCAGAGAGAAAAGGGAGAAATAGTTGGCTTTTTGGTTACTGCTTCTTACTGAGCTGTCATGTGTAGCTCTCCAGCTCACTCACAACCAGTCAGCCTGTACCTCCCTCCATGCACTTTGAATAGAGCAGAAACGACTTTCAGAATTCTGAATCAAAGATCTGAAAGTTGAGGGGACACACCATATAACGTGTCCTTCCATATCTTTCTGGATCTGACCTAGAAATATGGCCTGAATTCTTAAACAGGCTTCACAGTAATTTGTGCAGTGTTTACTACTTCTTCCTTCTCCCCAGAAAGGCATTCTTCCAACTGATGACCTTTTTAACTACCAAAAGAAAAATGATTGATTTAGGATGCCTTTATCATCACTTGTTTAAAAAAAAAAAACCAGCAACCCCCACACTTGTCTCTTTACTGTTAACCAGACCTCAGTGTGGGAAAAGTAACTCAGTGTCTTGTACAGGCTTAAGCATAAGTGAGGACTCAAAAGAAAAGAAGCCATTAAATCCTGAGATCAATGTTTTCATTTAAAAATGGAATGTTTGATCTGCTGTGTGCTTAGCCTTCTCTAGAACTCCTTCTGTTGAGTCACCATAACATTGTCTTTACAAGAAAACTGCACCTTTTCTGCTCAGTTTATCATCAGATGAGTACTAATGAATAATAAAGCTTTTCAGGTCTGATACAAACTATGAAATGTATAAATATACATTTATATATACATAGCATATACATCCACAGAAAGGTTAAGACTTAAATACAAATTCTCCTAGACAGACTTTTGCAAAGGCAAAACTAATAGTTCATGTCACTTTGATGTCTTAATGAAAAGGACTGAGCTGAGAATACCAGGACCTGAAACTTTGTGTGTACAAAATAGCTGAGAATTAATCCCTTGCTGGCACACCAGTATTCCCAACCAGTGATGTAAGTGGTAAAAGATGTGGGGGAGGATTACTTTAGCACTGGCTGCTTCTTTTATCCTGCAAAATCCCCATTTTTTGGCTGAGGTCTTCAGAGACATGAACAGGGGCCTGTTGTACCATGTTTTTACTGTGAAATAAACTCAAGGCCTCAGTTTATCTTCTAAGTGGATTAAAATAAAGTGACTGAAATGCTTATTCTCCCTAGGTAATGATTTCCTTTTCAGAGTCTGCTCCCCTGAAAGCAGGAGAATCAAACTTCATGTAGACCAAGCCTAGAGTCACCACAGGTACCATCCATCACCTGAGTGAACACCTTGTGCCAGCACCTTCCTGCCTGAGATAGGCAGGAGGAGTGAAAGGAAGGCAGGATATCTCTCACAGTTTGTGAATTCTGTCCTCCTGAAGGTGCATTAGAATCTTACACTGCAAAGACACGAGCAAAACATTCAACACCACCTTGAAAGCTCATCCTGAAACCATAGAATTACCTATAAAGGAGTTATGTTTTCAGGAACAAGGATTAACAATAAGCCATGTACTAATTCCTGCAAGTAGTTTCTAGTTTGTAGATTGCATATGAATGGGAAACTTTCAGTCCAAAATCTGAAATGTGAGTTTTGTTCATTTGTGAATAACTACACATATCATGTGGCACGTGCTGCTCCCCTGAGTAATGTTCCTAGGCTGGCATTCCTGGTGGGAATGTTGATTTGCATTGGTAGTTTCCTCTCTGCGAGTATCCCTAAGTAGCTACGTAGAGCGTTCCCTTTAGTCTTTGTAAGTTTTTTGGGGTCCTCTTGGAGAATAATTTCCTAGGAAGAAATGAAGACTTTTGAGGACTGTCTTGCACAATGGGACACAATTAATGCAATCATGATACATGTAATGTAGGAAGCATGAGAGTCCCTCTCTTTGCACCCAAATCCACCTACAGTATCTGTAGAAATCATCTTGCTAAATACAGGAGGATGGAGAAAGCAAGTTACAATTTGATAGTAAACTCCATTATCAGTGACAGACACGCCTGGGCTTAAAATCTGGAGCCTGGTGCTCGGCTTTTAGTGAAGTCCTGCCAAAGTCTGTAACAGGGAGTTTGTGACACGGGCAGAGAACCCCAGAGGTGTGAGACAGAGGAGCTGTGAGGCACCAGCACTCTGCCTCCTCCACTGCCTTCATGGCTGGCAGGACTCATGGAAATGCACCAAGGGGACAAGGGAACCCTCATTTTCCTGCTGTTAACACAACCTGTAGACATTTGGTAGTAAGTTTATTATACATTTTAAATATAACAGTGCCAACTCCTCCATTATGTTCTTTTGCACCTGTGAGTCCCATTCCCCTGTAACTGAGCTGAGCAAAATGGGTATGTTTCTTGTCAAACTGTGTGTGTCAAATATATTTGTGTATGCTAAACAATATTTTGATCTAAACGCTGTGAAAAAATATTTATTTACAATTTGGGCATAGAGATGGAAATTAAATTCTGTATACAGTATGTGTATATAATATTAAAGACTACATATTGATGGGAAGGATCTGTTATAATCTTAAGAGTCCAGAGGGTAAGCAAGTGGTTCACCACAACTAAGCTGTGGCTTGCCTGACAAATTCAAAAGCTCACTCTAGAGCTCAGCTGTCATGTACAATACTATGTGTGAACAATGTATATTGCTTTTTCTGTTTTTATATTGAATTGTATTGAATATTTAAAAGACTTTTTAATATTTTAAAAATTTTATTTAAGTGTTAATGCCAAAAAAGTTCCAAACATAAAATTTAAAAAGTTAGTTTTAAATACAGAAAAATTATTTAAACAGTACTTCAAATATTAAATTATTTTATATAGGAATTGATAATACTATGTAAGACTTTTTTTAAAAGGTTTCTTTAAATTCTCTTTACAGTCTCTAGCTGCAGGATGTAGTCTCAGTTCACCTGTGACATTTCAGCTCCTCACCTTCTTTAACAAGAAAAGAAGGTAAACCAAAGCCCCAGATTTTCTTTCCTTTTGTTATACTACTTTTTACATTAAGAAACATTGCATAAAGGGCATTAGAAAGAGATGTTACATCTGTCAGGTACTGATTGTCATATAAGCAACTCAATACCTTTTCAGTCCAGTACGAATAAAAGATTTAGATCAAGAGACTTTTGATTCTTTCTCATTTTGCTAAGATGGAAACAAACTCAAGTGGTAGAAAACACGAATAGCCATAAAAGAAAGAAAAATGTCTTTGGCTATTTCAATCTGAGATGACAAAGTTCTTTGATAATTAAAAACACATCCATATCCTCCCAGCAAACCAGTCCCACACCAAACATGTATTACTTCAGTCTTACATAAGCAATCAAAGTTAACTGAGTAGGTCTGTAATACCATGGAAATTTTGGACTGGCCTCAATACCAGTATTAATTTACTTTTTGAAGTTTAATACAGAGAAGAGAAACAAGAGAGAAAAAACAAATTCATAGCAGCTGAATAAATTGTTGGTTTTGCCAGCTGCAAAGTTTGTTTGTTGGCTACTGCTGAAAAAAATATCTAACCAGCAGAATACCCCTCAGATGAAAAAAAAACATGTCAGTGCAGTTTTTTGCAGACAGATGAGTTGTACTGCCCCCATGCTGAGACAGCTTCCCAGCTCTACCACGTGAGCATGTGCCAGAAGTAAAGAATCAAGGGTTGTTGAACCCAAGACTTTTTTCTCCTCATGCTTCCCTACGGTTGTAAGGAACAGCTGATGAAGAGCAGTTTGGTCAAGGACAGCACACCAAGTCCTACATGCACGAAATTGTTACTGAAGTTCTGACAGAGAGGGTGACTGGGCACTGGAATGGGCTGCCCAGGGAGGAGGTAGAGTCACTGTCCCTGGAGGTGTTTGAGAAGAGACTGGACGTGGCACTTACTGCCATGGTCTAGTAGACAAAGGTGGTGTTCAGTCAGGTGGGACTCAATGATCTCAGAGGTCTTTTCCAACCTAATTGATTCTGTGATTCTGAAATCCAGCCTGTCTTTGGATCAGAGCTGCCATGGGTCACAATGTCAGCTATTCAAGAGGCTCATGCTGCTCACTCTGCCAACAAGCCCTGCCTTCTCTCCTCAAGTGCTGAGAAGCAGGACATGTGTCAGACTTAGTGTGACTTCAACATGGTCAAGCAGGCTTAGCTTAACACACCCCAGGCAGTTTCCTGGCACTGTCTGTAGCCCTGCCATCACACACACTCCATCTTGGAAGCCCTTGTGAGTGGGGATCACTGTCTGCCACTGCTCTGGGGCATCTGGATGGTTCATATGCAGACTGAAGGCTGCCATAGTTTAGGAGCTTCCTCATGAGCAGATCCAATGCCCTGAGGGTGGCAAAGTCCATCAGAGCACTGGGTCTTGTAGAGATTAACACTATCAGCCATCCAGTTTTAATCCAGCAAGGACAATCATAGTCATTTCTCAGCCTAACCTCATATTAAAATATCAGCAAATGTTACAAGGCTTAAACAGAATCTGCACGTTGCAGATAATCAAACAGGAACTCAACAGGACAACAACCACAAATTAAAGCCTTCCACTATTATTTTTTGCTTTTGCTTCTTAAAAAAACCCTTTAAGATTTATGTAACATTTATTTATACTATTAAGCAATTTGCAGATGATGGCATAGAGACAGAATAAACAACAATCTCTCACACCCCAGTGAACACATTCAAAACTGCAATTTATTCACAGAACATGAACTTATTCAAGTCTGAAACTTCAAATCAGTGTCTTATCTATACCCTCACTGCACAGATATTGTAAAGGTATCACTAGTAAATCATGGGGCTTTCAGAGCTGCAGTGACTTGTCCCTGTAATGAGGCTATACAGGAATAGCACTTTAAACTTCAAAATAATTTGAACTATCTACATATTTTCACCTTAAAAAAAAAAAAACCCAACAAATCCAAAACACAGCAGAAATGTAACAGCTGTAACATAATATAATGCTACTTTGGAATATGAGTACATGAGAATAACATCCAAAGAGGCAACTGAACAATTCTGGATATAACCAAATGTCTCAGTGCCTGTGTAAGGCAGAGAAATCTTTCTACTGAGTCGAGAATTCTGGGATCAGGACCATATTCAGTCCAACAAACCTCACAGTTATCATTTATGTATTAGTCTGGTTCATGGCAGGCATGCAAACGAGTAAGAATAAGCCTGATATTAAGTATTTATATTCATTTGGCTTTAGGCTTAAGAAAAGAAATCTGCATCCCAGCGCAAGATATATGCACAACATCCCTCAGACAACAGGACTACACACAGCTGGGAAACATTTCTGGAATAACTTTTGTTCCCATAAAAGAATTCCGGTTTGAGGCTGCTTTGTCTGACACAGCACATTCGTTGCTCCCCGTCCTTCTTCCAAATTCTGGCCGAGTGAAACCTAATTAGCCCCCTGTTTTGGTCAGAAGAGATGGTACAGACCTGACACTCAGAAATCCCACGTGAGTTTAACCCCTGACTCCAGAGGGACTGTCGTCAGGAAGTTTGACGTTGTTGTGCCACGCTGTGCCCCAGAAGGAAGGTGCTTCCCAGGACTGCTCGTGCCCACCCTGCAGTGCACAGAAACCTGTCAGAGTGCAGGAAGCCCTCACAGATGGCAGCAGTGCAATGAAGGGCAAAGCAGGCTCACCACTCCCACGGTGGGGCATGGGAAGGAAGTTTTCCCAGTTCTCCTGACTGTGCTCTGTCTGTGGATATCAGTATATGCTGGTTTAACCAGTTAGTTAGTGCTTAGCTCAGCTGGTAAAAGATTTATTTCTTTTGGCAAGGTAATAATGTAAGAGACTTGGGAGTTATGGGTTGCAATACCCAGCCCACCTGGTCTTTTCTTAAGACTATCAGACACTGTCTTAAACTGGACTAAGCTCCAAACAGGTTAATGATAAGGACAGCAGTTGTAGTTTTCTTCACTAACCACTTTTAAAACCTACTGAAGTTAAACTGCTGCACCTTTCTCTGCAGTCAAGGTTAACATTCATTATCCTGCCTGCAGTTAACAGAGTGGTAACATTGCTTAATGATGCACACTGTCCATGTTGTTTATAATTGAGAGTGTCTTGCAGTGAAGAGACCAGAAAAAAGGACAAGAGGCCAAAGTATTGTACCTTTTAAAATAAACTGTAAGAGATAAAAGAGCATATGAGAGACTGGCAGAGAACGAGGGGAGGCAGATTTGATATCACCATCAACAGAGAGCTGTGTCATATGGCATCAGTACCACACCTGCCCCACAAAGCCCAGAAAGCCACCAGAGTCTCTGTGACCACCAGCAGCTGAGCAACAGCCTGTGCTGTTTGTGCCAGGTGGGGGCTGAGAGGGGGCAAGTCCACCCTGACTGGGAACAGAGCACACACAAATGGCCTCACTTCAGTCCTAGCACACCCATGCCAAGCCTCATTTGTGACACCTGCTCTGCCCTGCACTCCATTTGATGGCACACATGGGCACAGGGCTAGAGCCAGTCACAGCCTGAAGCACCCTCATTCCCTTTATCTAACTCAGAGAACTCCTCACTGCCCTATTTCTACATATACATATAAAATCTGCTTCTTCGGGGAGACAGGGTTGAAAGAAAGATGTAAATAAACATTTGCAAAATATTCTGAAAAATCTATGCAGAAGATACGTATGTGTTAGCTCAAAACCAGCATGGTTTCTGTTGCTAAAAAACATACTGGAATCCATAATTTTCCAGTAGGTTTCAGTTGCAGTCCTATGCCAGGCTTTTAGTGTGCCAGCTGATAATGGAGTGGGGTTGTGACTCCCTTCTTGCTGAAATTTTGCAGCAATCTGTGTGGGTTGAATGAGGTACAAGTGAAAACTCCTGCAGCCAGCACAGCTTTTACCCTGAGCACACTAAAGTCTGCCTTTTCAACACCTCAGTGTTCATTTGCAATCATTTAATGGAGTGCTCCCTGCACCCAACAGAAGCCAACCTGTAATGAATGGCACTGCAGCCATCTAAAGTGTCCAACTTCACTTCTGATAGACTGGATTCATGCCTCTTAACTACAATAATAAAAGCCCATTTATTCTCTCATGCACTTTCCCTAGTGGACTGGAAAATATCCTGTCTACCTGGAGCAATAAAACCTGCACAGTGCAAATTCTGAGATTTGAGTCTCCAGGCACTGGCTTTATGATTTTACCGTATATCAGAGTAAATGACAGATTTAGCCCAATATTATATAAATTACACACCTCCATTTTGCAACCTCTGCAAGTTCAAACTCTTCTGTCTCTTGCTCCAAAGGCCCCAAGAATAGTGGTATCCTGTCTTTGCCCAGCAGGCATAGTAATAACAGCAACAGAAAGATGGTTTCTCCAAGATAAACAACGTCAGAACTTTTTGCATAAAACCAGTATTTGTCACTTTTCATACAGACACCTAATTTAGGCCATTTGGGCTCAGACATTTCTTTGGGATATCAGACATGGTATTTTTCATGTCCCAATTTTCCACTAACAATTCAGTGTGTTGGGTCCAAGAGCTTTCATTACTGACAATTTTCATACCTGTCCTTCTCCTCCAGTGAGGGTGGTGAATGTTTTCTCTTGAACAGAGTTAATATGGAAACTTCAACAGTCTCTCCATAATGCCATGAACTGCATCACTGATTTGGAAAAATTATCTGTATTAGGGAGCATCATGAGGTTACAGGTACTCCTGTGCTTTTCTCCAGTCAGCAGCATTGATTTTCCCATTCACTT